AGTTTGACTTGGGATTGCATCTGATTATCTCAAGAAGTGCGTTGTGAGCTGCTGGACGATCTGTTTTGATAGGAAGCAGTTTGCCATCCACAATTGGAAGGTGTTAATGTGTTGTTCATTTTCCATTGGAAGTAGAACACTCTCATGCTTTGGTATGCAGCTGCTCCAGATGTTGGTGATAAGTTTTCTGGCTGAACAAATGAAGATCCAGTAGAAACCTTTTGACAAGAAATTGTATATCGAAGCTCATCAAGCGTTTTATCGTTTATGTTGTTGTACATAGATAAAATCGCTTTTTCTCCAGCAGCAATCAGATCGTTCTTTGTGGTTGCCTGACATCCGAAAACTTTTGCCTGCTGACGGAAACTCTCATCTATTTTAAGTTTCTTTAATTCCGTGAAGTCGAGAAGTGGTATCGCACCCAAGTATTACGGGGCCCCAAAGTCAACTTTGTTTTCTTGATGTCCCACATTTTTCTTTTCGTAGATCTTAGTTTTGGCTCTGACTTGAAAAAATGTCGTGTACRCTTGTACTGTTTAMRTGGTACAACAAAAGAATCAGCAAGTCTGTGTCATCACCGACTAGAATAGTTGGAAGCAATTGACTCATATCAATGGCAGTGAGCACAATACGAAGATCAGCGTCACCAGGATCATGAACTGTGGYAGTTGCAGCTGATTGAAGTTTTGCGCTTAGCAGGATAAACCGTTGTTTGTTGGAGGCATTTGACAAAAAATGCTCCTTTTTGCCTTTCATCTCTATGTCTGGTTGAAATCTCACTGTCTCATATTATCCTGCACGTCTCATGTGGGTACATTCCTTTATACTAGGGCCATCTTCATAACCGTCAAAAACAGTTATGACATTGCCGGGATACCTGACACTTATATACTGGATGTATAATTCACATATTTCATCGTACGTCAGACCACGAGGCCATGAAACTCTGTGAAGTAGGGCACCGCCATCCAGCACAAACGCATATTCTTGCTTTGGAAGCTSAGACGGAAAATTATCTTTCACTTCCTCCCAGATAGCGTTGGCTATAGGCAAGTTTGTTTGCCTGTGGTGKCAGGAGAGAAGCATCAAATAGTGCTGGAGGGTAACATTTCAAACTGGAACAGTTCTTTTGGAATGTCATACCTTCCGCGAGTGGAAACGTGAACGAACCTTTGGAACAGGAGCTGGGAATCTAYTTGAACAGTCATCCCTTTCACATTGACGGTGGTCTTGGCGGCAAGCGTTACAGCTTGTACTTTCTTTTTGAAATTGTGTTCATGTACAAGCTTACCCTTCATTGAAACAAGTATACTTTCTCCTACTTGTTTGGCTTTATCTGCGTTGATCGTTTCTTTTGCAACTACGCCTGTCGAAATACTTCGTAGTGAAGGATCTGCACAGAACGGATTTCTTGAGTGAAGATAGGCAACTAATTCCATTGTATCTTTAAAGTCGYGCTGTTGTCTAGCTATTGATGTGTCTATATGCTGCTCACTAGTGTAATAGTCGACACCTGTTAGACTCTGCATAGCGTTGTTGACTGCTGCACACATAGGCATGGATATCACCCATATCAATCGCTGCACTTCTGTCATTCCACGCCCCCTGGTAAGACCGCCACTTGTTTTTATACTTCTCATAAGTACTTGCTCAATGGTCAGGTCAATAGACAGTCCCGCCCAATATCTATCCACTTCTGCGCACGACATGTAGACCCTCCTGGAAACTCTTACACGCTTCAGGGTTCTTATCTTCAAGGTCAGCCATCATTTGCAATATTGTGTCCCGAGGCAGCAAAATAGGGCAGCATTTCATGAACGGATTGTATGTGAAGGTCCCAATTGTCTTTTCTTTTAGCCTTTTGGAATTTTGTGAGGATATCGATCATATCCATATATTGCATCCATGGCATGGCAGTGTGCTGGCCTTTCATTGAATTTCTAAAGCAYCACTTACCTTTTCCGAAGAGAGGTCTGGAAACAAATTCAGGTGTTTGTTTTCAAATTTCTTAAATCCTGGCTTCTCAATAGATGAAAAAAGTACTTATAAGAGATAGATAAGTATAGAAGTGATTCATTACTATCAAAATACTTATTTTTAGGACCCATTTAATTATCTTATAATAAATTTACAAAGTATGGGCTTCCTGTGGTACTTACATTTGCATTTATTGAAAAATCTGCCCAGTTATTATCTTTTTTGTTTGAATATTGACAAGATTATACTTAATTTTCATATACGTGCCTCAGCACAATGTAAAATTAGAGAAAGAAACAAGTTTACATATATTTGTTTGGGAAATTGATATTTTCCCATTATTGGGCTTCCTGTGTAATTCTTGATAATATGAAAAGCCGTTTTTAGGGACGTTCCACCGAAGGGATTTTTTGGGACTTTTAGTATGTTGATTAACTTACCCTAACGGGTCAAACAGCATTGAGAAAAATTCTGTTGCAATTTGTTCCAACCCCACCCCCCAAAATTTCATAGGATGACTGGACTAACTTTTTATATGATATTGAATAAATTCAATATCATATACAGATAAATTTCCGATCTAATAGTCCAATTATYGAAGTCCAGTGTTTTCTATCCTTTGACTTATTTTTTCTGGGGGCAACAGTCCCCTTTATAGTTCCCTGCGCCATCTTGAAAGGTGGCCAAGGCTTTGCATTGAAACAAGATGAACAGTGAGCTTGCAATGAAAGAAACCTTTTTTTAACACCTTGGACAATTTATTATCAGGTCCCTATCGTTGCAAGCTCACCGTTTGTCTCGCTTTGATGCAAAGACTACCTTTCAAGATGGTGCAGGGAACTGTGAAGGGGACTATTGCATGCAAAGTGCCCCTCCACTCCGCAACCCAACAGATTGGACCTTCTCTTGGAGTACCGGACCCGAGCCGTGGTGGATTTCTAGACATTCTGGCTCTGAAGCTTCCTCTTCGACCCTGTAGCCGGGGTACGGCCCTGATCGGCTCCACCCAGCACCGGTTTGGGGAGAAGTAGTTAAATTCTTCAGGGCTTTCTCAATTTCCTCGATTTCAGACCCTTGACTCGGTCTTACTAGTGATTCACATTCAGGTTTTGACCCTTGACTCGGTCTAACCCGTAATAATTCCCATGCAAGTTTAGACCCTTTACTTGGTCTAACATATTATTAATCACGATCTTGTATCGATTTCAGACCCTTGACTCGGTCTTACTAGTGATTCACATTCAAGTTTTGACCCTTAACTCGGTCTAACCAATAATAATTCCCATTCAAGTTTAGACCCTTTACTGGGTCTAACTTATTATTAATCACAATAATCTTGTATCGATTTCAGACCCTTGACTTGGTCTTACTCATGATTCACATTCGGGTTTTGAACCTTGACTCGGTCTAACCCATAATTGTCATTCAAGTTTAGACCCTTTACTCGGTCTAACGTATTGAAAAGCTCTAATACCAGTCAAGCTATAGATCCTTGACACAGTGTGATACTGAAATATACTGTCATAATTGGCATTTCTTTGTGGTAACGAAATATATCATTCCTGAATTCTAACATTGTATTAAAAATGCC